TCAGCGCTCCGGGCAAGCCGGCGCGCCTTCCCACCGCCAGGCAAGCCTCCCCGAAAGTCTAACGCCCCTTTGCTGAATATGTGCCCTTAGCTCTATCTGTGCGTTTTTTAATACTCAGTTTTTAGCACGGGAAGTGGCCGAGAGAGGAGCCCTGGCCCTCTCCAGAGGGCAAGAGCGGGGGGCCCCGGGCCAGGGTCAAGGCCGCGTGGCGGGGGAAGCGCCACGCGTTGCATAGGACAAAGCTGTTCCCTTTAAAAGGGAAGAGAGCAAGGTTGCTGAATACCAGCCTCCCTGCTCCCTGTTTCAACGTGGCCCTTTTTTTTCCGATGCAAGTCTTGACCTGGGACTATTTTGGCTGCACCTCGTAGGTATGACCAGCCGCTTTGCAGGACGCTGGCTGGCAGCGGAGCGGCTCCCTGGGCTCCGGTTTTGCTCAGAATAGTCTGGGAGCTTTTTGTGCAATCCACCAAGCACATGACTTCCATGGTGACTCCAAAACCTGCCCTGACCATTCATGAGCTCAAGCCTGTTTACAAAACAGCGGCTGAGGGCTGCTATTTGTTGTCACACACATACTACATACAGAGTTGCTAAACAGGCAAAGCCAAAAATGAAAGTCATCTGAGAGCAGTTTGCTTTAATTAGAATAAAATCCTGATGAATCATGAGGTTTCTTTACCTCAAAGATGCACAAGGAATTGACTTTGGCAGCAAATATCAAGGTACAGCAGTCAGCGAGAGCTTGCTAGCTGCATTTGACATCTGCTGGGAAGACTTGTTTTTCCATCCCAAGTCACATGCTAACTTGTGATCTGATCATGAGATACAAAGGATAATCTTCCAATATTTATTTTTCTCACTGGAATTTTAAAAAGCAGAGGAAAGGAACAAAAGCAATGTAAAAAAAAAGTCCCCTTGCCGACGTGAGTCCTGCTCTGGGCTTGCTGCGCTTGGACTGGGCAGCAGAGCCGCTCTGGCGGCTTTGCATCCGCTGGGAAGCAAAGGGGAGCGGAGACCA